TAACTCATGTGATCAGATCTAGTGTGATTAATACTGTTGGGAAAATACTGAATGTACCCTTGCAATATCAGAGTATCTCATGATAACAAAGGCCAAACTGTAGCTGTCTACATAACAGGATGTATGATTACCCAGAAGAGCGTCAGGACACACTGTTTTAGGCATATGATAGCTATGTGATTAACATGATGATTCAGCCCCTAGGGATATAGGCATATACGGTCATTTTTATTGCTTACGTCGGCCTTAGCTAATCCGAACTAAACAATGAATACGGCTTTGAACCGGTATTCCTGCATCTTGCGACTGTGATACCCCCTCTCTTGTATTTAAGCATGTGAAAGACACTGTTGGGGGAACTATTTGTCCCATGCAGCTCTGTATGTGATGACTACTTCCATTCTTGCAAGGATAATAAATCCTGATTATTGAAGCTCAAGCTCAGTGACGAGTGATATTTTTCTTACAAATACTATACAAATAAATAGACAAAAATGTTGTTAGCTCAGATGCCAGTGTAGCCCTATTTTATTTATTAGTATTAGTTATATACGATGTTGAGAAAATTGAGGGCTGGAATGCTGGGATACTATTAGGCATTGAGAAACTTTATCTAAAAATATGCATGCAAAAGGTCAATTCTGTCTGATCTAATGAAGTACATACTTGACAAAGGTACTTAAAATCGCATTGGTTCAAACATCAGATCTTGCCATACAAGTATCCAGCTCATTTATTAGCAACATTGTCCACAGAACACTATTAGCTTCCATGTTATCATCGTTTTAGAACAATCTATCTCAAATGTATTTAGTTTTAAGTTGTATTGTGTCATCTAATCCAACCCTAATGTGCTCTATTGGAAAACCAAACACTTTGCCATGTAGGCCACATGGCTAATGTTGTTAGTACAGTGTTGATATTCAACTTTACCTACCGCTTCCTGTATAAGCGCTGAAAACTTCCCGGTGATGCGGGTGGGTGCTGCTCAATGCTGCTCTTTTTATTACCTAATATCGCTGAAGAGACGACAGCGAGGCCGTTATGATCATCAGGAGTATCTGTGTGCTGATGACCCGGCGCAGGAGCAATTATGATCGCCCTCCATGTGGACCACCTCCTACTCACGGCAAAATATACGAGCGTGTTGACCTTTATCTCTCAGTGTGTGCATTAAAGCAGCGAAAGAACACAAAGAGGCAGACAGGAAGTCCACCCTCGCTGCCTTGGTGTTTAGAAACAATGACACACGATTCGATGATGCGTGTATTTATAACTTGCAGTATTTTGCACGGCAGATAACAAGAGAAAGAGAAGGAATGAGTTCATAATGACAGATGGGCCTGGTAGCCTCTAAAGCTCTTGCAATATGACAAGGATTACTCAGGAGAGCAACAAAAAAAAAAAAGATGCTCATGTCCTTGAGGGGTGGCACATTACAAAAGACAATCCAAGGTAAAACAAAACAAAAATCCATACGAAAAGATTCTTATGGCAAATTCTGTGAGAATCTCCAGTTATGTGATAAACAAAGTGCATCACAATGTCTTTGCAGTTAATCTGTCACTGTGCTGTAAAGCTGCTGAACCCACAGGGGTGAGGCGAGGAGACGCTCACTGTGTCGCTGAGAATTGAGAATGTGACAGCCAATTAGAGTCAGAGAGGACGTACAGGCACACAGGACTCCCCCGTTATTCAGGACACCTCAGCTGGCACATTTGTCTCACTTGCTCTAACTTTTGAGAAAAACCTCTTTTAAGATAGGATGCCTGTTGTTCTTCCTTTGCCGGAAAGTCACACAGTAACAACAAATGTAATTATGTGTCATTTAGTTTCCTCAAAAAGGCTTGTTAGCATTGTAACTGTGGCCCTTCCTGGAAACAAAGAAGAGAGTAAGCAGCTGGTTTTCTTAAATTATTGTTTACTTGTATCTTATTTGATGTTGGGATAAACCTTGACACAAAGTCCAGACAATTTCGTAAGTTCTTTAACATTTAAATATAACTACAATTAAGCCTGCATCAGAATGAAGAGGGTTAAAGTTCAGACTGAATCTCTGTTGTTCAAAATACAGATGTTTGACGAGTTTAATAAGCAGACTCTAGGCAAGAACCACAACTATCGCCTTTATTTTATAGCACTATGCCGTAAAACAAGTGCTTCATATCAAATATTTATGAAACACAGCTAATTGATCCTACCGTGGTGTGAAAAGCAGCACTTGATTATTTTCTTGGCGTTCCTACAAGCTTTTTAACTTCTTGCACAATCTAGTAATACATTTAGCTATTTTAGATTTTAGTTAAATATGACCTGGATTGCAAATGAGGTAATCTAACAGAAATATGAGCTCACATCGAGCAAGACTGAGAGTTAATTATCTTTCTGAAGTGTCTAGAGCAGGGGTGCCCAATACGTCGATCGGACGATCGCAAAGGTAGTGTGGGTAGATCGCATGGCATTTCTTTTTTTAAAGTTAGCCTATCATCCATCCTTACTATGGCATTTGCCACTTGATTGACGTACAGGTAAGCCAGTCTGAGTTGTGTTGTGCCATACGGGTTCATGCAGTTATGAGGGGGCCTCACCTCCTCAACTGAAGCGCAAATGCGGCGCACTATTATGCGCAATTATCGTACGCAATTATTGTAAGCGCGCCCCCCCCACGCGCTCGCGACACAGATTGAGCAGGGGCTTGGTCATAGTAGGGATGCCAGAAACTGACCATGATCAAATTCGAAAATCGGACAGCCCTGGCGAATATTAATCGATTATTCGCCTGCGCTGCTGGCTTCCTCCAAGTTTACGGTAAAACAAACTGGTGGTGTGACCAATGGCCATTTACAATTATTAATAATATTACTATTATTAGCATTAGTCTATATTTTGGTTGAAACTAAGCCAGGAAAAAAAAGAAAAACATAAATAATAATAAAAATATATATAAATAAAATCTGAATTTAAAAAATCATTTTCGATTTATGTGAAGACTAACGAATATTCGAAAAATCGGCTGTCATCCCTGTCTAGGAGTCTGTACCTCTTGAATCTCTGAAACCATTTGGGACACTATTGATTATACATTTTCACTTTATCCAAATGTGCAGAACACATGTGACAGATGGGTCAAAAAAGGGAAGGAAAAATCATCTTTTTTAGAGACCGAATCATTAATCATACTGTTCGTGCACATGTTGTAGAACTAGGTTTGCTCCTGCTCAAATAAACTAGCTGACACAGCTTTTTCGGTGAGACAGTTTGTGCTGATAAGCAGAATATTCAGGGAAAGAAACTACAACATAACTACCATATATGGGACAAATGTCTTATTACAAGCCATGAACAATGTTTCGAGTATCATTTTATGGGACACGGAGCGAGGTGTAAATGTGTCCGTTTGTTTCCCCAAAGGTCCCCAAACTGTGGCCCTGAATAGAACGTCAGTGTCTAGTCTTGTTTTCTCGCAGAGTGTCAAACCCTTTGAAATAGCACTCGGGTTAACAGCTCCTATTTGACGCTGAATTTACACTTCTTCAGACGGCAGTTGTTAAATATCCACTCGTTAATTTCCGAGCATAAGTGACTGGCCTTATTTACTGACAGCTTGATTTAGAAAACTAAAACATTTTTGACTGGCTAATAAATTCAACAAGCTTCTCATCCATGACCTGTAATGGTGCATGCCCACGCTCCTTGTGACGCAACTTCACTGCCGAGCTCCGTCTTCCAGAGGGACTTTCTGAGCTCAATTGCCTGCAACTGGTGTTGACGACCAATATCATACCGAAAATCTAATATACAGGCTGCCACATGTCTCATTTCCCCACTCGCTGTCTACATACATTACTTTAGGCAGAGATTAAAAGGGACGCAGGGATTCTGAGGGCTGTCAAACAGGCCTGCAAACAACTGTCCNCGCGGTGTCTCGCAGACGGCCACTGGGCTCACAGGGAGGGGGGGGCAGGAGCTCCAACAAGCCGTTTAGGACAGAGAGTGAATACACATACTATACAGACTCTGTATAGTATGTGTATTCACTCTCTGTCCTAAACGGCTTGTTGGAGCTCCTGCCCCCCCCTCCCTGTGAGCCCAGTGGCCGTCTGCGAGACACCGCGGAATTCAGCCTGGGCACACACATACAGCCGCAGCCTGGCTGGGAGTTTGTGTGTGTGCCCAGGCTGAGTTCCGCGGTGTCTCGCTGTCTTGCCGACCCCACACCAGTGAGCCAGCTCACAGTGTCCCGCTCCTCGCAGCAGCGAGCCTCGCAACGTCCCGCCGAGTGTGTGTGTGTGTGTGTGATGGAGTACGCGGATTGGTCCAAACGTAAGGGCTCTGCGGACGTTACGTCAATATACCCGAAATACGTCACTATACCCAAGAAGTAAACAATGGAAAAAGAGAAATCTCCAACGAGGCCTTCTGGGGCAGCATAGACAGGTCTTTTCTGTGTTAGAGTTTTACTCGCTACAGGGTGTAACTTTAAGTTGAAGTTATGTCACAGAAATACGTTTCCCCTTAAAAAGTATGTATGATGAAATCTTCAACATAGCATAATGGATACTTTGTTTCTTTTTTTATATATGATAATAATAATAATAACAATAATACATAAGATTTGTATAGCGTTGTTCCTAATGCTCAAAGACGCTTTACATAAAATCAGAACAGAAAAACAGAATCTAAAATCCGAATCAAGCATATATTTGTTTAATTATCCCTATTTCTTTCTTTCAGTTTTTAGTACTTTATCAATTTTTTTCTGTATAAATAGTAACAATATCACTTTTTTTATACGAGTTGAGATTTTTTTGAAACACAATATTTTGTATTTTCTAGAAATGGTTACTGAGGAAAACAATACATTCTAAACGTGTGTGATGTATAAGAGCAGAACACTGCAACCTGTATCTGAACCCAGAAATCCAAATACGTCAGATGCAATTAAGAGAAGGAATCATGGAACATTTTAATGTGACGTGTTTTATGAGCTGTAGCCGGTCTAAATGTGTGGCCATATCATTTCAGATTCATTCTCACCTCGTTGGTATGGATGAGAAATCGATTTGATTCCACCTCCGGGTCAATGATCCCCCCTTTAGACCGCTGCCTCTCCAGAAGCTTCTGCAGCTTGCACCACTTCTGCTGAAATTTTGAACCAATCACCACTTCGTCCAGCTGAGTGAGAAAAACCAAAGACTTTCAATGGTTATTACTGACTTTGGAAACGACTTCCAAAGTGGTGAGATTGTGAAATTAAGCTATGAGCCGCAATAATGAACTATTTAACAATAATGAACTATTTAACAATGATGAACTATTTAACAATGATGAACTATTTAACAATGATGCAACATAAAATAATAAATATCCCCATCGATACAAGTACATAAGGTGCACTATGTTACCTCGGGCAGCTGGGGTGCAGGCGAGGACAGAAGCTGGTCCACGTCATACGACAGCGGCTCTCTACACACTGGACACACCACAGTCAGCTCCTGTGAGGGGAGTCAGAAAATGAAATCACGTATAAAAGAGAGACACAAAAAGGTTTGTTTGGCCGCAGCTCCTCTCACCTGACGCTGGGTGTGGTCCCGGGTCTTGTCCTCCTCTAACTCGCGCTCCCTCTGCTGGAGCTCCCTCTCTGCGTGGCTGGCGTAGCGGCCGAGGCAGTGGGAGTGGAAGTAGTGGTAGCAGCTCGTCTTGGAGAACGTCTCTCCCTCCTGGAGACATCCAGTGCACATAGACAAATTAAATGGGTTTGCAGAGGCAGATTTTAGGAACATTTCTGCTTACAAGAAGTTGCTTAAGAAATATACTTTCCTTTTCAACATTTCTAATTGAATTATTTTGTATTTATTTAAATAAAACAAAAGAAGGAAATACATCCATATTCTATAAACTAAAATGAATTATAGTGATAGACAAAATGTTATAGGGATTGATGTTGTTGATGATAATGATGATGTACCTTAAAGCCATAGAGGCAAATGACACAGTTTCCATGAGGAATATTGCTTTCAGTCAGGATTTCTTTAGCTTTCTATAGGAGGAAAAAAAAGGAGAAAAGTTAGAAACTTGACTTCAAGCAGCAGTACTTCTCACTATTACCATTATGTATGAATTAAATAAAAAGCACTATATATAGTGACCTCAATGAGCTGATACAGCACGGGTGAACCCAGACAGGACTGAGCCTCCAACTGAAGACACTTTTGGACACTAAAAGAAAAGGTGGCACATGATTACAGAGTTTTACACTCCAAAAGAAACATTTCCGAGCAGAAAGTAGTGATAAAAAAGAGTTCAATCACACTTTATTACCTACTGATCTTGTCATCAGAAAGCCCCCGAGGGTTACGAATGGATATTGCTGGAGAAGACGAGGGATACTAAGCACACAAAACAGGGAAGAGAGTCAAAATGTAATTATGTCCATCAGTGTGTTGAGCTTTACAGGTGGTGTTATAGAACTATGGCAGCATTCCATATTGCATACCTTTTCTATTAGTATATACTGCTACTGCCCTAAAAAGTATGTACGGTTGCAGGCAGTATGCATACAAACGGGACTACACCCTGAGTTCCAATACCCATACATACTACAACAAAAATGTAGTATTTCCCAATAAATAGTATGTCAAATGTAGTATGCCAAAAATACCTGGATGTCCTACAGCATCAGGTCCCATATGAAAAAGCTCAAAGTTCAAGGTGCAATGTTAGGACTAAGCACTATGTCCGAATTGCATGCATGCATATCAGAATACAAAATCTGATATTTGTCACTTTTATTTTATTTGTCAGCGTGGCAACTAAATAGTATACTGGTATATTTTGGAACGCAGGACCGTGGTGTTTTCAGTTGATTGTATCCTTACAGGTACATAGCAGACACCTTATTAATGTGAGTCATGGAGAGAAATGTGAGCAGTGTTGTATCAATAAACCTCATCACAACACAGAGACTGACATACACACTCAAAGTCCAGTAGCAGGATAAGATCATAAAATATGTACCTGCTGATCCAGGGTCAGAGTCAGGGTGAGGCGGACAAACTGTGAGACAGAGTCCTCTGCTGTGGACGGGTACAGGACCAGGCTCACCTCCCAGCACCTGCAGGACACAGCTGCAGCTTCAACAACACTCTCTAAACATAGATAAACTCGGAAGCCAAAAAGGCAGCAATCATTATGCAGAATGGCCCAATTAAGGACGAGACACTTGATATGATGTAATAATGTGCATTTTAATGTAACTAGAAACTAAAGTTATCCAGTATTGTAGTATAACCTTTCATAAAATGGGAATACTCATGTATAAGTACTTCAAAATCTGTACTTGATTACAGTTCTTGAGTAAATAAACTTGCACTACTGTCTCGTACTGCAAATCACTAACAACATGCCTTAAAGCTAAAGCTTATGAGGCAGCATGATGTCATTTTAACTCATTTTTGTCTCACCCTTCTTCTTTCCTGTTGACCAGCAGTTCATCCAGATAGATGGACTGCAGCACCTCGATTTCAGACAAAACACTGCGGAGAAGAGAAATATAATGTTTAACTTACATTGATGACATTCTGTCCTGTTTTATAACAGGTTGACACATTATGCTAGCGTTAGCTGGTTGCTAGTTAACCATATAGCCACATTAGAACTGCTACATTCCCTCTGACGTTAAACCGTCACTAAATAAATAAACCGGATATCAATTATATTGAATGTCATGAAATGTGTTTGATGGTAAAAAGAGGAAATACATGCTGTAAACTAACTCACTCGCACTCGGCTGCCATGATGAGGTTTGTCGCTGTTTGAGCTAGCTGCAGCTGCTAAAACCTTGATATAGCACACGGTTCTTTCAAAACAAAAGTGTCACGGCAAGAATGATCGTTAGCTCTAGTTAACGTTTTAAATAAATCACGTCACTAGACATTTACTAGATCATTTTAGGTCTGATTTAAACGTAACATTCCCATTTATGAAGGGAAAGGGTGAATCATACTTGGGCCTAGAATTATAAAACTTGTATTTTGAATGCGTTTACCGGAAGTACCAGCATGTTGTTATGACCGACTCGATGTCAAGTGACCATGGAAGGGCATTGCCCTCTAGTGGGCACAGTAAGAACTGCACACTATAAATAATAATAGCAATACTGATAATAATTATAATGAGTCATACACTGAACAAAAATATAAATGCAACACTTTTGTTTTTGCTCCCATTTTTCATGAGATGAACTCAAAGATCTAAAACATTTTCTATATACACAAAATAACCATTTCTCTCAAATATTGTTCACAAATCTGAAAAAATCTGTGATAGTGAGCACTTCTCCTTTGCCGAGATAATCCATCCCACCTCACAGGTGTGGCATATCAAGATGCTGATTAGACAGCATGATTATTGCACAGGTGTGCCTTAGGCTGGCCACAATAAAAGGCCACTCTGAAACGTGCAGTTTTGCTTGCGTGCACCAGTCAGTTTAACCCAGCGTTTCTCAAAGTGTGGGTCGCGCCCCACTGGTGGGGTGCAGAGATGTGATAGGTGGGTCGCGAATGGACGCGATGAACGGGAGTTTTTAATTTTTTTTAATTCTTTTTTTGGACCTCAGGCCGGAATCGAACCTGGGTCCTCGCGGGCGTTAGTGGACTGTTACAGCCGGAGACTCGCAACGGCGGTGAAAGCAGAAAACAAAAGATAATACAAAGACAAAAATATACAAACACCAAATACACAAATACACATTGCAACGACGGAAGACTCGGTCCAAGTCGAAAAACTCATTTACTCAAAATAGAGTTACGAAAATTAGACCAATTTATTTCCATTTTTTTTATTTTAATTTCCTTACTCCTCGCTAAGGATATAAGCTTCGACCGTCGATCGAATTGGAACCAGACTTAAACTCTCTAAGCAAGACTCTTACTGCTAATGACAGTTAGGTTTTAGGTTCCATGAAATATTCCTAAATTGATAAAGCTCAGGGCCGGTAGCCGCCAGTGGTTATCACGGTCAAACCCTCCGGTGGTGACGGCCAGTGGGTGTACTAGAAGCCAAAATCCCACAAGTCCTGGTCCGGTCCCGCTATCTACACTGACCTAAGAGACTTTGATAGGACTTTCTCAAAAGTCCTGTCATAGATCCCTGTCCGGTCCGTCACATGTCTAGCAGTAGCCGTATATCCACCTAATCTCCTCAACGGGTGCTAAGAGGTACAGTCGAAATATAGTATACTCTTATCCTACCACATCTTATACCTTCGGAACACTCATGAGGGAATCTATACCATCCCGTACAGTAGTCTAAAAGTCTAAAATGTGTTGAACCCACGCGTACCTGTCCACAAAAGTTTGGTCAGATAACTAACCCAATCACTTGTGGTTACGTAGATTAAAGGGTCTTCGTCAACCACTAGATGGTCACAGCTGCCCCGAAACCGTTCTAGCTACTTTTACCGTTCGTGTCATTACAGACAAACATTCCCGGAACTACTATAGAAACACACACACAGCGGCAGAGCGAAAGCTACTGGACGTGCCTTGGGTCTATGTACAGTCTATCATACAACATATCAAGTACACATACAATCGACAACGTTGATTGAAAAGATTGGTGGAAACAATATGTTCACAAACTTACCTAAACCTGCTACGTCAACCCCAGTCGTACCAAAAGGGAAAATTTGGTTCCAACGTGACTCCGACGGAAGGTCCGTTCATCACAGTGACGACAGACATACCTGTCTAATGTTTCCACCCTCTATCGAAGACGTTAGCCCAGACGTTGAAATTTTTTCTTCCACCAGTAACAGGGTAGTTCTGGACGTCCACAAACCCCAGTTAAACAACAACACAAAAACATATGTGTAATATTGGCAACTACGGCCTACAGTCTCAGAACCTATAAAGAACATTCAAAAAAAATCACTACTGTTAATGGGACACAACTGACCCTACAAACTAGAAATAGACCCAGTAAAAACCACAACAAGAAGATCGTAAATGTAATATTTTTGAATTTACGAAATGACTACACAACATTCAGTCCCTTGAGTAAGCAACACTGTTTTAACTGTAGTCCGTGTCCAGTCTTTGACCCAAAAAATATCTTACCCAAACACAACACAACGGGCTATAGACATTATGTTAGTCCCGGCCGGTTCTCGATCGTCACTCAGTGTTATCGGTGAACTAACAGAAAGAATAAAATACACGATATAAAATAGAGAGAGAGAGAAAAACAACACAAACAGACACAGACACAACAGACTCCGACACACGAGGAAGCATCCGAAACTACATGCCGACCGCATTTTAAATATTAATTTGATCCAATAACATTAACCCCCTGTTTCCCTAAAGCTTTTCCACAGTGCCATTGAGGAAAACTACAACACTAGCCACGGCAAAGTAGTATAACGAAAAAAGGGACGTGACACAAACTAAACACAAAAAAAACACACAACACACACCAGACTACACACAAACACACACAACACACCACACACAACACACACACAACAACACACACACACACACACACACAACACACAACACACAAAAAACACACACCGTCCGAGTCTAACCGGTAGCCCCTCTAAGCACTGAAAAGGGCCTCCCGGCGACGGAGAACCACACGCGACGAGAACAAAACCCACCCGGTACTGAAAGGTCGCGGCCGACGCGACCAATGGGTCGGCAGCGGCGTTTGTAACACAAAACGCTCCGAAGGCCCGCCTAGGTCGCGAC